TGATGATGATGATGAGAAAGCAATTGTGACCACAGTAATACTAATGATGATGATGATGAAAGTAATATACAAATAGCCTCATAAATCTAATTAATAATTCTTCATTCATTCATTTGAATGTACACTTCATTTCACCTAAGCGATGCAAATCATTGTTGCACTGTCTAAGAAAATCAAGGAAAAAAATCAGGAGAAAATCAGCATCAATCTAATTACAAACTAGGCCACTTTGGCCATGAACTGGAATATTCAAGTTTCAAAAATATACTCTCATTCTCAACAAAGTAGTGTGCAGAATTACCTATTGAATGAACAATTTGCAAAATCATCCAGATTAAAAATATTTAAAGCAGTAAACTATGCATAAGCATGTACTTTTTTTAATTCAATAATACTTATTGTTTAAAATTTGGGTTTGCCTCTTTAAAAACGGTGTTAGCATACGCGACAGCATACAACAATATATGTTTTTTGCGTACAAAAATACATCCATACAAAACAAAAATCTTGTGAAACAACCTTTTTTTTAACAATTTCCCTTTTTCAAAAAGGTAGGAAGCAAAACTTTTCATGAAAAGCCAAAACACTGTTTATCAAAAACGCTCGTAAGAAAATAAAAAGTAAAGAACTCTTGACGGACAATAAAATTAATTATTACTTCTTAGAAAATAAATTTTAAGCTTATAAAAAGCATAAAAAACAGTTACCAAACATGAAAAAAATATGCTATTCCCTTTTCAAGGCAAGCATTGCGTATATCAATCTAATTATGCAGTGATTGCAAATGCCACTAATAGCAAAAAAACATGCTCATGACATTTCCGGGCCAATTATCAAGTGAATGAGAGTAATGTTTGATTGTAATCTAAAATTTGCTTCACTCTCACGACCAATCAGATGTAAAACTATACCTAGTTGTGATATGGACACTCCTCTTGTTGCAAGCTTGAGGACATTTCTAGTTTCTTCAATCTGCTTTATGTCTGATTGGTTGTTGGAACTAGCTTGGTTTTAGTGTAAAATCGCTCCATCAAATAGTGCTCTACCGGTGATTCCTTGCTACAAATAAATCGAAAAAACAAAAAATCATTTGAGCAAGTGCTGCTGTTCCCCACCTGTAGAGGTGCAGCAACTGGTGCCATCATCTCAAAACTAAGAGTAGGGGAGAAGGCAACACTAGCTCAAACCATAGCAACGTCGCTTCCCTGGCTGATGAGGAGAGGCCGAAGGATAGCCATGCAGTCATGCCTTTCCAGTTCCTCTAAATAACAGTACAGTTTGTAAACTGTAGCATCATCTCGCATTTGCCAATCTTTAAGAAGCTCTTGGGTGGCTTCTCTTGGTAACAGCTTCAGATTATTCGTGAAGGTAGAGTCATATTTCATTTTTCCAGCCAAATAAATATAGTTGTTTCCACTGTCTATATTAAGGTACTGTGCTAATTCTTCAGTGATGTTAGCTGGTATGGTGCTGAATTTAATGTTATTCTCTGATAAGAGAAAAGTAACAGTTTTAGACACAGAAAAAAGAAAGGATGCATCACAAATAGCTCACAGATCTGATCATTTATTCTCCCCACTAGCTGTCACACAATTCCTAGTAAAATGAGTTATGAAAATTTGGTGTTAAATGAAGGTAACTTCTAACATTACCTGTTTACTGGATAATGTATGAATATTACAGGAAAAAATTTCATCTTAATCACTTCGGGGTGATAGAGGGTTTAAATGTGTTCAAAATGTAATGCCAAATTTTCCCAATAATGCAAATTTTAAAACAGAAAATCAAAATTGCCCAGCAACAACGCCTTAGACCCCCAGATGCCAAAACAATCTGAATGCTTTCATAATCATATCACTCTAAAGAAGTATTGAAAGTATTGAGGGAGAGGAAGGAGAGGAGAGAGAAGTGATCCTAACCCTTTAACTCCCACAAGTGACCAAGATAGAATTTCTCCTTACAAAATCCACACAATATCAAGCAGACAAGTGATGAGAATAAAGAAAAATATCAGTTAGGGGATTATAAGTTAATCCAGTACCAAATTCTCTAAGACCTGTTTGGTAGACAGTGAGGAGAGTTACTAATGAGATCTTGGGAGTTACAGGGTTAATTAAAACCACCCTACATTTTTAAATTCTCAACATCCCTATACATTTACATACACACATGTACCTTCAATAACAGCTGTTCCTGACATCCCAGCTACAGACTCTGCAAGATGAAAGCAATATAATGAGATAATACTACTTTGCACAAGCCCACCTACACTGAGTTAGAATATGTCTTAACTAAAAAATTAGACAAAAATACAAAATGTAGTGAAATCACACCAGCTACAACTTAAGTCATTCCACTTTTTTAAAAGATGAGCATCCACTTTTCTGTAACAATACATAGTATAAACCGTCACTAGAGAATAGACAAAATTGGTGTGCAGTTCAAAGCTTGTTGCATCACCAGTAGGATCTTTGCCTTTCTCAAAATACATTCTTAGGCATCATATGTTTCTTGATTAATTGACAAACCTTTTGGAGCTGTTCTGTCTACAGTTCTGTCTGGTACTGGTGTATCTTTACCCCTCCACTTTCCAATCTTTTCTTTGAACCAAACACAATTGCAGATCAATGATATTAAAAGAAGCAGACCTAAAGTGACCAACAAAGCTGGATGATTTAGCTGGCTTCTAGTTTCTTTGCATTCTGGTACCTTACTTTCCTCATCAACTGTGAAAAAAAAAACAAGGAAAAAAAAGATTTTATCAAATAATTATCACTTCCACAAGCTAGGTGCTGAAAGATCAGACAGTAAGGAAATACTCTGCAGGAGCAGAGCATCTCAATTTATTTCTAATTGGTGTTTAACTACTGGAATATTCTCCCTCTTGGCCAATGATTACAACATAGTAATATAATTATAACAATTAATAAATATTAAGAAATATCCCTCTCAAAGTTTTTCATAGCAGTGTATCTCTAATACTAACCAAGTTTGAGTTCCATACTGTAAGTTACAGACCTTCTTTTACCCACTCAGATTTCTGGCCAAGCACAAAGACCATGAATCAGAATGATAGAGTCCATACTTACAGTAGGGACTGAAAAAACAAGGTTAGTGAGATATTCATTGCATCTCTGCATTCCAATATTGGGGAAAGATTTCAATTCACACAAATTTTTGTATTCAGCCAGGGGTACAATGAAATACGGCTAGCTAACTTGACAAAACTTAATGCACTTACTAGCTGAGAGACATAATAAAAACATTTATGATACCTTTCTGTGATGTAAATGTTCTGTGAGAAGAACTCAACATTGTTGGGATGGATGGTTGTTGAGTGGATACCTGAGATCTTTCTGAAGGAAGAGGACAAACAGGAATCTTTCCACACTGAGTGTCATTCCCAGATTTACACTTAATTAATACGACTTCTCCTTCTCCACAATAACTGCACTGAACGCACAATGAGTTGTTTACAGCATCCAAATAAGTCCCCTGAAATAAAATATATTAATTAATCTGAGATGAACTCACCAGTGGAAAGAAGAGATATTACCTGAAGAAATGTTAACCCTTTCACCTGCCGGAGTGAAGAGAAGGGAATTTCTGACACAGTTTTACGCAGAACAATGATGAAAAGAAAGAAGACTACCAAATGAGAGGCACTTTTTGTTTCAGCCCCATATTTTCAGATCTAAATTGAAATTTGAAACAGATGTTACAGAAGAAAGGATTGACTCTAACAGAAAATTCTACAGGGAGAAATGTTGGCAAAGACAGACAGGGGTGGTTAGAAGTACGAAGGGAATACTATTAAAATTTGAGACAAAGTTGGGCTCAAAACTTGACTATTCTCAGAGATGACTAGCACTGTACCTCTCCTAAGTAGCACTGACAATTGAAGTGGTGTGTACATCATAACACCCTTAAACACATTTGAATGATGCAAAAACAAATTCTTCTTGTGTTTGACGAAGCAATACAAAAAATTTTGGAAGGGGAATGTAACAGTTAATCAGAACTAATTGGTGCGTTTTTCCTGAGCATCCCCTCATTTCGTAGAAGGCAGAAATTATGAAAAACAAAACAATTAGATTTAAAATCAAGATTGTGACCTAATACCAAATTCTCAAGCCTAAACAAAAAAGAAATTTGAGGAAGGAAGGAAGGAACCTGTTTCTCAAAAGTTTCCCCAACTTGACCCTTAAACTCCCATGAGTGACCAAGCCATAATTTCTCCTTACACTATCAATACAATGTCAAGCAGGCAAGAATGAGAATAAAGAAAAGTATCAATTAGAAGATTGTTACTTGATCCAAAACCAAATTCTCAGGTAACATCATACAAATTGTACAGCTGACAGTGAGAAGAATTACTAGTGAGATCTTGGGAGTGAAAGGGTTAACTGGCTCAAAAACATATTTCAAAATCGAAATCCAGGGGTCTAAATAACCTTTTCCTTAAGTGAATCAGCTGCTATGCCTGCAAGAGGGAAAGTAAGGCAAAAGCCAAGCATAACAGCCTGTTTGCTGGCTAAACAGACAGCTATAACAGGCCTTACAAACCACACTGAACTGCAGGGAAACTGGCTGCTAAATGTAAGGGATAGTATTGTGGGTCATAGCTCAAAACCAGTCTATTTTATCACACTTTCTGATATTTCCATTGCTTGAATGTCAAAACCATTAATTTCTCCATCTTTAACAAAAACACACAAAAATCAAAATTGAGCTCTTCAGGACTAGTGACTACCAAGGGTTTTGAGAAACAGGCCCCAGGTTAGGAACAGCAGTCTACCATACCTCTAGACACTTCTCACAAGAAGCATCTTTAACCTCTTGGCAAGGAGAGATCAGTTTTTCACCCTCACTGCATTTGGTGCAATCCCGACACATAAATATACTGCCATCCCAGAATTGGTCTGGTGGGCACTTAGATCCAAGGGCCAATTCTCCAGCAAACTGCAAAAGATTTGACATTATAATGAACTTCACTTCACTTTTACCATGAGTCAAACTGACTATGTTATATGAATATGTAAAGCAAGAAACTTATACTTGTCACTTGCCTACTCAGTAAAAGCCAAGATTTGATATGTTTTATTTTTCTTGTTTTATGGGCTTCAAATGATTACAGATTTGCATACTTTTAATAAACATTAAGACCCTTCTATCCACAGAAAAAGCTTTTTGAATGAAATTCTCTCTGCCTTGCACTGCGTGTTTGAATATGTGGTAGATTGTTGTAAACAGAAGTTGTTTTGTAAACCATGCAAGAGAGTTAATAATATTAACTAGAAGTTAAACATTCTCAAAAAACTTCATCGGACCAATTAATTAAAATCAAAACAACTGAGAGCTTGCTAAGTATAGGTGCGTCATATTCTGTCTATTCAATAGTTACTATGGGTAACTTTCTGAATAAAACAAAGCTGGGAGTTTCAGGATACTTTAATTTCCTGTTGACATTTAGTTTGGTGATTTGTTGTCAAAATATTATGAAAATTTGCTTGAATAGAACTTTCTCCAACCATCCTTTGACAGTCTCAAACAATGCCAGCTGTTAGGATGAGAGGGAAAATTATGATTTCATTTCATCAATATTTCTTTACCACAGAATTAAATATTTTTATGCCGCTTCAACTAAGAACCGTTACAGCTTCCACAAAAAAAAAAATGCATGAAAACGGTTAAGAAATATGCATAATGATTAGGAAGGCAAATCTATTAAAAGAACAGAAGGCTAATTTAAGCTCCTATCACTTTGGAAGAACTTTTGAATTAAGTTTCAGTAACTGTTGACCCAAGTAACTGCTGCGAAGAAACAGCGTATGAAAGAGGCACCCCTACTTCAACGACAGGTGTGGAATATTAGGGAGAGAAATTTTTAAAATTCCGCTCAAATTTATGATAATGTTAGCAACTACAAGGAAAAATTCCGCATATGTAAACAAAATTATTACTCATCTGTGACAGATCGTTGTACAATTTCCGACGATGCGATTTCACCTTAAAAATCCACAAATCTCGCACACAAGAAAGCAACAGAAATCGTTAACCACGAGGTGAACTGAATTGCGAAGAATTAAATTTACAACTCTTTAATTAAGGTGAAGAGCGGATTATGAATTTTTGCGACAGGAGTTGTTAAACTTCAAGCCAAAACAACTCTACTCGATTTGATGAGAAGTGTAATTGACAGCTGTTAGTGTAATACAACATTGAACAACTTTGTTTCTTCAGAATATTGCGAATAAATGATCGTGCAGCTCCTTAAATTGCGCATGGGACATGCCAGAGCATGTTATTAATTCCAACTGATGATCCGAAGCGGTCAAAAGAGCATTTGAAGGAACGTGCTTCCTTCAGCATAAATTTTATGATGCGAT